TAACTCCCCTTAATGAGAACAACAATCCAGAGACTTGAATCTTCATTTTTCAAGCTTGTGCACCACCTTCTTGAAAGTTGTAGTTGGTAGAGACTTGATGAATAAATCAACGATAGTATTACTTGAACAAACCTGTTGCATGTTGATATCACCATTCTTGGGAGCTCATGAGTGTAGAAAAGTTTTGACGAAATATGCTTCCTTCTATCTCCTTTTATGAATCATGCCTTTAATGTCAAAGATTTCTGCAAGTTCCTTACTTCAACTTCTTTAAGAAAATAATCTATTGCCTTTTGAAAACTCTTCAAGAGTTTCAATTCAAGTCATCAACGTGCATAACAATACAAAAGATTCTTGATTGTTTTAATCTATATATGAGGATTATAAGCAAGTTTTTCAAAAACTTGTATATGCTTTAGATTTCGAACCCATCCGATATTTTCATATCAATTTTGTCAAGTGACAATATTCAATATTAAATGTATGACATCTTCTAGTGCCTAGATTGCAAGTTAAATAAGCTTTACACTTACCAAGATGCATCATTCCACTTTTCACTTGATAATTATTTCTACACCAGCATGTTTTAATAGACGTAGAATTCATATCCTCATAATCTTTTACAATATTGCGCTATGTTGTATCAAAGATATCGTCGACGAACTATCACTTTGTATTGGCTCACAATACGACATAACTTATTGAGATCTCATGACTTTATTATATTCAGGTAGCTACCCCTCTCATGAGGTTTCATGAAGTGTTATGTTGTAAACTCTTCAAGAGCACATTGCCTCCTTATTATGATCATTTTGATTCTTTGATCCTCCCCTTTTTTCAAGGATTATTTTATTTAGAATTGATTACTCTATCATGCTTCATGCATGTCGTAGACTCTATCCTTGAGGGACATTCAATATGAGTATTTACAACTCTTTCTGTTGCTTCTAATCTCCCCCTTATGTTAGACAAACTAACATATATCTCAATCTTTTGGAGAATCTATCTTTGTGCATCATTGTATATTCATTGATTATTTATTACATATCAAATTAATCAGATGAAAAATATTTGGTCCTGACCATAAATCAATTGAAAGAAAATTTGATCATAATTTATTGATCTGATGCGTACAATTACTTTTGTATGCGGTATCACATGAAGCTATATTTTCATAAGCAATGATTTCGCTATCTGAGACATTTAATGTCACATCATCTTGAATATTTATCAATATTATCAAGATGAATTATCTTGAGTTCATATTATGAAAGTTGTTGTGCTCTTAACTCTATTATCTTGCACAAATAATTATGCGAATGTCAATCTATAAGTTGACAACAAACACACATGTGATTATTATAGATGCATCGCTTTATCATTCACATGATAGGTGAACGGGCCTATATTCACCTTTTATACTTTCAAAATTTAGAGATTTAGTCTAAACATTAGTTGATCCAATCAACTTGTCATGAGAACAAACAACAAAAAGAATTCTTGAAGAATCTTCTAGTTCTTCAATGTATGTCTATTACTTAGTATGCACATATTTGGGATGACCAAATTATTCATGCCAACTAATAAAATTATTAGTACTTGTAAACTCCAAGTTTACTATGCCATGTGCCTTTTGCTTTAGTAAATTTCTGATTTATTTATATTAGAAAATTTCAATTTTATTACTCTGAGAGTAATTTGTAAATTTATTTTTTCTTAGTTATTCTACCCCTTCTAAGGGTGAGTCGTGATCCCATCACGATAAAATGTGTATCCGTATTGATAAGCTTTATTTTACACTATCACATTCACTTTAGTATTGAGTATATTCAATCTCAATCGATAAACATTAATCATTAAATGTTTGGAATGAAAACTCTACATTATTATCAAGGCGAATGGACTTAATCTGATTATCAGAAAACTGTGTCACTAATCATATTATTTGTGCCAGTAATTTTGCAAACCCCAAGTTGCGAGATGACAATAGGCACATATGAGACCATATAGAAGGATCATCTATTAGGGCCATGAAGTATCTAAACAACCCACTAGGTGAGTGAATAGGTCCACAAATATCCCTATGTATACGTTCCAAGAACGCATGAGATTCAATCTCAACTTTCATTGATGATGTCCTCACAATCAACTTACTTGATAACAAACAGTATAAAAAAATTCACCATTTAAAAGAATCTTTAGGTCTTTGATGGATGTCCCTTTGAATCTTCTATAATTCGTTTCATCATTATAGACCCATGATGTCCCAGACGATCATGTCAAAGTACTAAATTATTGAAATTAGCAAACTTATTTACCATAAAATGTGCCTCTATTGCACTAATTATTATCCAATACAAATCAGAAGATAAAGTAGAGAATTTTTCAATGAAACATGTCTCCCTAGAAACATTCTTGTTGATACCACGTCCACTATCAAGGGTCGGGACTTTTTCCACACCTAGCATGGTGGGCAATGAGCATACACCTCATTCACTTCATAGAATGGATCTGTATGTATTAAACATTTCAAAGTTGTCATTCTTTATGAATGGAACACAATCATCTGAGCATATCATGTTATGATAGCTTTAGCACCTCATATCATGTTTATGTGCATTATTCAATCGCTTGTCTTCTTTCAGATATATTATGCACTACTACCACATTCACTTTTAGGGAATGAAGTGGTTTCAATTGAATAGGTTTCATGACTAATTTTCATCAAAAACATATTATTTTTCTTTAGTCATCATTATATCATCAATACAGTGCATTGTGACTCAAACTCAATGTCTTATCCATATAAAGAGATTTTAGGCCATAAATCGTGAGACTTGAACTCAACATTTTAAACATATCATGGTGCATCAAGACTTGAACTTGATGTCTTACCTCCTATTGGTGCGATTAGAGATGAATCCATCGCCTTACCCTTTTTTGCGATTGAACATGAGTCCATCGTCTTACTCTTTTAGTTTATGGAATAGATCGATTAGAATTGAACCCAAAAGTTTATCATGATAGTGCATCAAGGCTCTAATTGTGCAAAACTGAGATTGTTGATTTATTATAATCAACATTAGTATTTAATAGTTAAAGCTAAATAGAACACATACCTTCTATTCAAATACCTGTAAATAATTGGTGATTTGCCGTTAATAGCTTAACCAATTAGCTAAATATCTCATGATATCACCACAATTCCACAACTACAGATAAAGAATACCATTAAATATTCATAAAACAATATTTAAGCTAGATAAATCAAGTAAGAATAACAAAAGGATTATTAGACTCAATAATATCCAAACATAGGAGCAGTAATCTTAATGATTGATATGCCCTTCTCTTTTCCTTGAGAAGGTTTAGTTCATGTGCACGTCTTTCTCCTTTCTTTAGATGGTAGAGTCTCGTGTTGATAACGTGTTAAGAAACTATATAAAACAATGAGAAGAAGAAATTAGGGAGAAGAGAGAGGAGTTCTTATTTCTCTTGAATGATATTTAAGGATCCATAGATCTGATTTACAATGAAGGAAACCCTTTATTTATAGGGCAAACCTAACTTGGTCCCAAGTAGGACTCCTAACCATATCCTAAAAGGACTCCACATAATTAGACATTCACTATAATACAAATATGTTTATAACAATACATTTTATTTCCTAAAATATTGACATTTTCAATAATTATTTTAAAGTGTAAATGTTTTTAATAATTATGTTAGGGAGTTTGACTAATTTGCTAATTTAATTTAACTTTTCACATGACATGTTTAACAATTAAAATCGTAAAATTAAAAAATATTTTAATACATTTAACATAACTTTGATTGAAAACAATAAAAAGTCTTCTTTATTTTTTTAATAGGGTATGATATCAAGTCAAATGTCAGACTAATGTAAGTTAAATAATAGAGCATAAACAAAGTTATCTTTTCCGATCGGAAACGTGGGGTTCAATAAATACAGTCTACAGCTGTTGATTGGGAGTTTAAAATAATATGTATTTATTTATTTGTTTAATCAACAATTATTTATATCATTCAAGTCCACCATCTCCTTCCTCTATATTTTTCTCAGTTTCCATTTCTCTGAACACAAAAGCATCAAATGAAGCAATCTTCTCAATAACCCAAGCAAGGTCAGATTTCTAAATTGTTTTATTTTTTATCATACATTTTACTCTATTTTCTTCACATCATTATTCATTACTATTCTTTAATCAGTTTTTTCGTTGTTATTTTTACCTTTTATTTTATTTATCTGCTTCTCTACTTATTTACTAGGCATTTTGTTCCATTCAGAAGTTAAATTTTAGAGTTGTTAAACTAAATTAGAAATTACA